GTGTGTGTGTGTGTGTGTGTGTGTGTGTGTGTGTGTGTGTGTGTGTGTGTGTGTGTGTGTCACCATACAGAAAAATGACTAGTGTTCTGTTCTCCTATAGGTGCTAAGAGGCTGATACTTCAGCACACCACCATGACTAATCCTATTCAGTATTCCTTCCCATGGCGGACGTGATCACTGTCTTTAATAATGCATGTGCAGTCAGATCACTGGTAGAAAACACTGGGATGTGAGGGGAATTTGCGCTCAGTGAGTAATCCTCATCTAATCCATTTATTTCCAAGACTTGGGCTGCCACAGTAATAGATAGTGATATCTGTTATTTCTAACAGTTTGCAGACTGGCAGTGTTACACTGGTGCGCCTTTTCTTACATGTCCATCATAAGTTTAAGATTTTTCTCTATTTTTCTGCATTTTAGGATGAATAAATCACTTCATGTTCTTTTTGTCTGTTTTTATTTCTATGTAATAAATTAGAGATTTCCCAGATATACCTTTAATAAAAATAAGCTTATTAGCTTGTAAAGGGAATTTTCTTGTAGTTTGCAAATCTTAAGATCCATGGTTTTACATTTTACTTTCTCTGTCTCTGTCACATAAAACTTGGCCAGGTCACTTCCAAGCCTGCAGCTTCTAGTTTCAGTGAAGGCTTGTGTTATTAAAGATTATATGACACCGCATCAGGGCCTGACTGAGTGGATAGTTTAAGTATAGACTCTTAGTCTTCTCTTCTCACCTAATTACTGGTGCGATTTTAATGCAAGTCACTGTGATACAGGCCAGTGGACCCTGGTGTGAGTCTGTTACAGAGCCACGTATCAGTTGACAGTAGTGTTAAGATAAGACAGCTGTAAAGGTTCCCAAACTGGATAGTGAAGTAAGCTTATAGGAAGGTGACTTACATGTGGTAATGATGATATTTTCATGGTTCCAAGTTGTGCTGTGACTTTTAAACCTGGACAATAACTTAAATGGCACATCCATAAACACACTTTTCATTGTCACTCCCCTTGCATCTCTCAGGATCTCTTCTCTCTGTCTCCATTATGTAGTTGGAAATGCAGCAGAGCTTCTTGCAGACTGCAGTGTCCAAGGAGTCTTAAAAAGGCAAGGACGTGCACTCTGATTCCTGGCAGCTTGTGGAGCAGCGGAGGCTAAATTAGGCTGATTTCATTGACTTCCAGTCCCCCGGGTCASTGCAGCCTTTCGGCCTAGAGCAGCGGAGGGCACTGATGCTTCGTCAGAGCTTTTCTTGACTCAGCCGTGGTAAGTAAAAGTGGCATACCTGCAAAGATTGAAATGTTCTAAGTAAACAGAACAGAAATGCAAGTTAAAGGCTTGGTAATGCTCGCCTCAAATCTCCGTTAGTTTCTTTCTGTGTGGACTTCAGCTTGTTCTCCCTAGAGGTGTATGGGTTTTCTCTGAAGACTCCAGTTTCCTCCCACAGTGCAAAACATACAGTACATGTCGGGTTCTCTAAAGAGTCTAAATGGACTCAAAATGTGTTTTTGCTTGGTTGTTTGACTTTGACTTGTATGTCTTTGTGTTGGCCCTGTGATAAACCGGTGACCTGTCCAGTGTGTACCCCACCAGCTCCTTGTGATAATTGTAAGCGTATATAGAAAATGTGTGTGTGTTAATTTACTGTAGCCTTTGAGCAATATTACCTTTTGCTAAGTAACTTTTTCATGCAGAGTTTGCAATCCTACCTTAAGAAGCTCTGTGTTTCTAAGTTTAGGTGAAAGTTGCAAATGTAGAGCAATGCAATTTGTCTAAAGTTATTTTGCATTAACATCATGATTCTGAACTCAAACTGAAAAGCACAAAAAAGCCCTCTCTGCCGGGCTGAGCGATGTTTGCTTCAGCTGGTGCCAGAATGATGAAGCGTACTTTTGCTCTGCAAGAAAAATAAAACTAAATGTGCTTTTTAGGAACTTYATTTGCTTTGAGAAATCTAGTAAGTAGTTTAAAAAAACTTTTAAAACGGTTCTATAAATGCATTTACAGTGTATCTGGGGCTCATGAGAAATGGGTGAACAGTTCAATCTGCTGTCAGGCTTTAGTATAGTTTTACAATTAGTGTAATTTTAGTATATACCAAAATAATCATGTTTATGSTATTTATTTTTGTGGATGTGCTGTAGCTCGGTGGTCAGTGCTGTGGTCTTGTAATCTCCAGGCTGCAGGTTTGAGCCCAGGTTGTATCAGGAAGGCTGTCTGGTGCAAAACAATTGCCCAACCTTTCAAGTGAGTTTGCTTGCTGTTGCAAGCCTTGCAGARAGGATTAGCTGAAAGGAAAACATGTTATTTTTTTATCAAGTTCAGACTGTTCTGAAGATAAAATACTTTATTTTTTGTAATAATAAATGCTAAACCCATTGCACTGTTGCTCAGAACGTCCATCCGTCTTTTGCTTGTTTAGTAGATGTATTTTGCTGATGAGCAGCTTGTTACCTACCTCCCGCTCCCCTCTGCCTTTTCCCTTTTGCCGTGCTGTCCGATGTGATTGACCGCGTCTCTTTCTCTGTGCTGTCAGTCAGAGACAGGTGCTGAGTGCTGCAGCGCGTGTGGGCCCCAGAGGCCTGGTTCGACATTCCACTGATAGTTTGATAGACACAGTCCTTTTGGGGGTGGGGGRCGAGGAGGGGGGCAAAAGCTGCACACAGACAAATCACAAGGATAAGTTAGGTCCAGTAATGTTTATATTTGTGTGTGTGTGTGTGTGTGTGTGTGTGTGTGTGTGTGTGTGTGTG